TCATCATTTACCCCCTGACCCGAGTAGACAACCAGATCACCAAACTACCACCTCCACCATGCCGAGAGTGAAGAAGCCCACTGATACCACCCGTAAAATACGGTTTTCAGGTGCGATTAAATCCCTGAATGGGGGAAAACAGGACAGTATTCGAGCAGCAGTCGAGGCATTTGACATTCCCAAATTCACTATACTACCGGTACATGGGAAAGGACGAGTCATCGACTGGCTCAGGTTGACAATCAGTTAATTACAGTGATAGAGGAAAAGGCTATAGTGGCCTGGTGCAAGAAGCAGGATGATCGGGGATCTCCTCCTAGATTGGATATAGTAAAGGACATGGCTCTCCATCTTTATGAAAAGAGAACTGGAAATAAAAGAATAAGAGTGAGAAAGGATTGAATCAAGAGGTTCCTTGATCTTCACCTTGACTTGGCTACCAAGTTCAGCATAAAATTAGACTGTTAATGTGCACAAGCCAGCTGTCCCCACCTATTGAAGGATTACTTTTCCAAACTCTCCTGCATTATTCATCAGCATAACCTGAAGCCATTTCAGATCTTCAACATGGATGAAAAAAGGTTTTTGATGGGAATTGCATCAAGAGCAAAGGTTCTTTGTTGCCATGAATGTAAAAACCCTCATGTTACTCATGAAGGCACAAGAGAAATAGTAACTGTTGTTGAGACTATTTGTACCACTGGCTTTGCTCTTCTGCCCATGGTTATTAATAAAGGTAGTACATAGTACAAAGGCTAGTACATGAATTTAACAGCTACCATGGGAGATTACTGCTCTTCATTTTCTCCTAATAGCTGAACTGACAATTCTGTAGCTCTGAAATAAGTTACTAAATTGTTTGATCCTTGTATGGCAGCTTCTGTGGATCAACTTCAATACCTACTCATCCTTGACGGTCATGGATCACATATTACTTAGGAGCTTGCAAGGTTCTGCAAACAGTGAAATATTATTCTTTTCTGTCTTCCATTGCACTCTGTAACCGGTACGGGTACTCGGTTATTGGTTTTGTTTTATGTTTTGTTTTAAGTATCGTTTTGATACTTGGTTTGTTTTAAGTATCGTTTTGATACCTGGTTTGTTTTAAGTATCGCTTTGATACTTGGTTTGTTTTAAGTATCGTCTGATACTTGGTTTTGCTTTATGTTTTGTTTTAGTATCGCTTTGATACTTAAGGAGTTTTACCAAAGTGTATCAATTGATACCTTTGATTAGTTTCGTTCATGCTAGACATGAACAGATTTGTGTATTTAAAGACCGCCTGTTTCTATGATAGAAAAGGCAGACTTCGACAGACAGTATTTCAATATACTTGGTTGAACGGTTACTTCTTTGTTTCCCCAGTACACCCTTGAAGCCTCCTTTAGTTCTGAGCTCTCGCCTCCTCTCTGGAAAAGCAGGCCACCTGCCAACTATCGTATCTATTACCGATAACGTGATTAGCACCTTGCGAACACGTTAAATTTTTTTAACCTCAGCAAGTGGTTAAGAACCTGTCCCCGGATTTAGGCCTGATCAACCTAGCGATATCCACCTCAGAACGCTAGCGGAGAGAAGCGGCAGAATCACAGCACATTCGGCTTCATCTCAAACCCAAGATAGAGTCTTTGACGACCAGGAGTGGGAAACAAATCCAACGGCAAGACCTTACAAGGAAGAAACAACCCCGGCGCTCTGCTAAGGAGCCGGGCAATCCTGCAAACACGGAAGATACACAACCTCCAGGAGAATTCCCTTCTACTCCAGCAAAGAAGCCTTCCTTTGAACCTCCAAACGACCCCGAATCTAGTAGCGAATCAGATATGGCTAGCACAGGAGGAGGACCCTCTGGAGGAGGGAAATCTCGGGTAAGGCCTGAAGAAGAGGAGGCACCCGCAGTATTTGAACCCCCTAAGTTTAAACTCCACCTCCCAGCGAAGTTCACAGGCGATGGGAAAGACCTCAAACCTGAAGCCTTTGAACGATGGGCAACAGAACTCTCACACTTCCTACTCTTACAAGGAAAAGATGTGGAAGACCCTACAACTGGACTTATCATTGGATCATTCTGTGAAGGAAAGGCAACCGACGCATACCACCAATGCTATAAGGATTTCGGCGGGAATGTAAGATTAAGAGGATCTACAGTTCTCGATTACCTGAAAGGACGATTCCAATCCTCTATAACCAACGACCTCCTATACAACAAATTCAACCAGCTCCAGCAAGTTAACGGAACACATGTCAAGCGAATCACCGATGTGGCTACAGCCTTGATAATGTATAAAGACCGAATGGAGAGAGGAAGCATCTCCAAATACATCCTGAAGCGACGATTCTACGACACCATGCACCCTACCCTCGGGCGAGAAGTAGAACCACTCGAGGAAGATGGTGATGATATTGCAGTAATAATTGCAAGAGCAGAACGAAAGGACGCCATTCTCCATGAGACCAAGGCCTACAAAATACAGACATCCTCTAGTAGGAACAGCCAGCCACGACACAAAGCCTCCAGCAACTCTGGAGATGACACCCCACGGGTTTTCAAGAAGAAAATAAAATCCTCCAAAGAATCGAGATGGGAAAAAGGAGAATGTTTTGAATGTGGACAAACAGGACACATGGCAAAGAACTGTCCTACAAAGAAAGGAAAAGGAAAGGCAATTAAGCAAGAGGCATCGGCCAACAATGTTGAAAGCGATAACGCCCAATCTAGTGAATATGAAGAAATCCATATCGGATATATCAATGTGGAATGCAACAGTGTTCGCCCTCCGGCTACATTCAAAGCACATACCGCTCTGGAAGGAACAATCCTAATTAATGGCAAAAAGGCTCGAGTCCTATTCAACACTGGCGCAATCGGAAGAGATATGATCAGTAATGCCTTTGTCGCTGTCCATGGACTCCCCACTCGAGACTTTAACCAACCGATACCAGTCAATATGGCAGTAAAAGGATCACGATCCACAAGCCATAAAACCTGTAGTGCAACCATTCGACTTGGTTCAGCAGTCCTACCCCCCCAGGAAATGCTGATTGGAAACTTAGTCAAATACGATGCCCTAATAGGCATGCCATTCCTAAACCGCCACAAAGCTATAATCAGGTGTGGGGAATCAACCATCAATTTCCCTGATCAGAAGGTCAGAGTCTCATGCAAGCCAACAAGCGGAGAGTACCGAGCCGCAGTCTGTGAAGCAACTACCCAAAAACTATTGGATGAG